GCGGATTTAAATTGTCGTCCAAAAGTGATCCAATGTTATATGGTCTCGACGAGGAGGTTCTAATGACTTTGAGGTAAGCTCTATCTATCGCTTTTCCATTGGGCTAATCTGCTTGCGTATCCCATGTCGCAAATATGAACTTGTCTCGTACGGCAGGTATAGAGACTGAGACAAAGCAAGATTGCTTTGTTTCAGGCTCTAAGCCTATCGTATGCGTTGTCTCGCGAGAGGTCTGTAATTTGCGACACAAGATAAGCAGCACGGATTGTTGACTGCCATGCAGACACCCGGTCTCGCTCTATACTTCGGTAATTCGCTCCTCTTTCTCAAGCGTATGAAAAGAAACAAACTTAACACTGATATTTATTCCACCGCGAGGAGTCTACGCAGGTGGATACCGCCTTGGCCCAGTACAACAGTTTGCTCCTGCGCCGGTGAGCCTGCTACCTTCTAATCCGGTTTAATCACTCTTCTGACACGCTATATTTCTCAGGCTGAATACATGTATTTGTTCAGCTTCCTCTGTCCTCTCACCCTTGTCGCTCCTTCGTCGCCGTCGCGCTTTGACAGGAGATTTAACTTTTAGCTTACGAATTGTAGTTTATATTATGAATATATCTCTATCTACATTAATCTTTTGCGAGAAATAAGCCATTTAAAGCGGGTATAGGGTCGAATATTTCCTGTCCCAGTCCTCTGCCCTACAGCCTCGTGAACCGTTCGAGAACTTATGGATCGGTCGCGTCGGCTGACCGCATCACGAGATATGGCCAGTCGCGAAACAGTTCACGAGGCCTTTTGACCCTTCACGAGTCGAAGACCATATTTTTGACAGACGGAAGTCTTTAATCCTTCGATGTGGCACCCAAGTAGCATATATCTAGTCTGTTTAATGGTGTTGCGTTTCGAGTTGAAGAACGAAATGTCGCAAAATGGAAAAGCTAGAGATGGGACTCCGCATGCCAGTAAGCCAGTCCTGCTATTAGGTTCGTGGCGAATCAAGCCCTTGCTTGTGGTATGGTCTAAATCGAAGAGCCATGATTTCTAGACGACTCGTCAAAATCTCAACTAAAGCGGGTATAACCCAATAGGATTTTTTATAGCCCTTCAGATGAATTTTTATTGCATTAGTGACGCCAAGTTGTGGGTTGCTCCAGACAATGTTGATGCTTGACCCACTTGCCTACAGACTTCTATGCGCTCGAGTCCCCAGTAATACGGCATATTGACAGAGATATCGCAATCATTCTTTACAGATATCGAGAAAGGTAGACAAAACATCACTGAATTGGATATGTAGCAAACTAAATCTAAGTTACAGGTCGCCTCTCCCACATATGCATTGTAGAATAGTCATTATGCTGGCTCGACACCCACGATGGTCTCGACTTCGCTCCAGATTCTATACGTGTTTTAGTAACTATT